CCCTCCTTATTGATCAGTAGCATTCTGAGCTCCTATGAAACAAAAGGTTACTAGGTAGCACAGGAAATGGTGAAAGCAATCTTGCTTGGACAAAACTGAGTCTATTATGGGACAATGATTGCATACTTTGGAAAGAGTGCCTCTTTTATTCTTCTAGTTTACTCCAGACATAATTTAGGAGAGTATGGCAAGATATATCCAGTATTTAAGGATTCATCTTAAATCCTCATCTTTGGTCAAAAGACACTTCATCAAAGTTGCTTTAAGATCATTTTTGCCAAGCACCTCTGGTCAGGGAATGAAGACAACCTTTCTCTTTCCATGATCCTGCAGCTGTGAAATTGTAGCTCCTAGCCAATTCTATTGAAGACTGCCAGCTAACAGCTCTTGGCTCCTGTCCTCACTCCCTAGAAATGGCTTCCATCAACCAGTACCTCTGGGGCCTCCCTACCAACAACCGGGCACTCTGCTCAGGGAAGAGATACATAAGTTATCAATGACATTTGGACCTAGGCCAAGGATTTATTTTGGCTCACCTGGTTAATGTTTCCAGACTTCCTACATCATTATCTCATTGTGATTAAGTGATGTAGGTAATAGTCCTTTCTTGGTGGCCCCATGATATATCTCCCCCACTAGTGTTCTATCTTTCCCCCGATATTTGCTTTCATCTTCCATTTTCCCCACTGGTCCTTGATAGCGTTCCCTGGCCTAAACATCTGACAGTGCTTGGTACTTCCCTACCCTTACTGTTAAACTCACTTTAAATTTTTAGATTAAAGCAACTAAACAAAGGACATAACATTGTTACAACACTTGTAAATCCAGGAAAGGCTAACCAGAAATTAGGAGAAGGAGAAATAGAGTAGGAAGAGCCAAGGCTCTGGCATTCAACAGATCTGAGCTCCTATCTCAATTCTACTATTTATATCTCGGCTAATCGCTTGATCTTTCTAGGTCTATTTCTTCATCTGTTAAATGGGGGCAGTAATTACCTGATAAGATGGTAATAATTAAGACTGAAGAAAAGCAAATGTGTAAAAGTACTTCACAGAGAGTAAAGGATCATTACTGCACCTATTGGGAATGACCATCAACCAACTCCTTTTTGCTCTATAGATCACTGATAACAATGAAATGGAGAATTCAGAGATAAATCTCTACACCTGTGATTAACTGATTTTTGATGAAGGGACTAAGACCTAAAATGGGGAAAGAGTGGTCTCTTGAACCAATGTCCTGGGACAACTGGATATCCACAAACAATAGATTAATGTTGAACCCCTACCTCATATTAATTGCAAAAATTCAATCAAAGTGGGTCATAGATCTAAGTGCAATATCTGAAAGAATAAAACTCATAAAAGAAAACATCAGGAAAATTCATCATGACCTTGGATTTGGCAACTGATTCTTAATTGCACAAGAAAGAAAGCAAAAAGTTTAAGCAACAAAAAAAATAAAATAGATAATTGGGCATGAAAGAACATTACCAAAAAAGTGAGGAGACAACCCATAGAATGGATATATATATTTGCAAATCATATATCTGATAAAAGTCTGGGATCTGCAATATATAAAGAATACTTAAATGGAATATTACTCAGCCATAAAGAGCGAGAGAATAGATTCATTCATAGGAAAATGGATACATATTGAAGATATACTCCTAAGTGAAATAAATAAGTCCCACATGTGTAAATACCAAATAGTTTCCCTGGTGTGAATATTCTGCAACAATGCATAAGATTCTAATAAGATTACTGACATTTAGAAATGGGAGGAAAGGAGCTAAAGGTGTAGGGAAGGTGTGATACGTAGGGGAAGAACAAAAATACTCTTATAACTCAAAAACAAAAAGACAAGCATTTCATTTAAAATGGGAAAATAATTTAAATAGGCATTTCCCCGAAAAAAGGTATACAAATGGCCCAAAATTTCATGAAAAGTTATCTGATATCACTGATTATTAGGGAAAAGAAAATCAAAACCACAATGAGATACCAGTTTTTATGCCCACCTTTTATATAGTGTCAGTGCTTATAACTCAAAAACAAAAAGACAAGCATTTCATTTAAAATGGGAAAATAATTTAAATAGGCATTTCCCCGAAAAAAGGTATACAAATGGCCCAAAATTTCATGAAAAGTTATCTGATATCACTGATTATTAGGGAAAAGAAAATCAAAACCACAATGAGATACCAGTTTTTATGCCCACCTTTTATATAGTGTCAGTGAGGATGCAGAGAAATCAAAACCTTGTACACTGTTGGTGCAAATATGAAATGATACAATTTGGCTGTTTCTCTCATTGTTAAACATAAAATTGCCATATAACCCAGCAATTCAACTCCTAGATTTATAGCAAAAAGAACTGGAAACATGTATTCTAACAAATACTTTTACCCAAGTGCTCATAACAGCATTTTCCCAATAGCTAAAAGATGGAAACTATTCAAATGTCCCTCAATAGATAAAAATATTAAAAAACATGGTGTATCCATACAATGGAATATTATTCAGTCACAAAAAGAGACAAAGCACTGACACATGCTACAAGGTAGGTGAATCTTAATAATTATGGTAAATTAAAGGAGCCAGGCACAAAATTTCACATATTGTAAAATTCCATTTATATGAAATATTCACAATAGATAAATCCATAGAAACAGAAAGCAGATTGGGGGATTCTGTGGGATTAGGGCATGGGGAATTGGGGATAATGTTTTAAAGGATATAGGTTTCAGATAATGAAAAAGCTCTAGATCTAGATAGAGGAGATGATTGGACAACACTGTAAATATACTAAATGCCACCAAATGGTATATTTTGAAGTAATTGATTTTGTGTTTGTGACTTCCTCAAAAATTTTTTTAATGGCACATTGGAAAAAAAATGGGGGGTCCGAAGCTAAGGCCAAAAGCTTGACAGTGCTATATTTCTTAGCACAACTTCCATTTTTCCAACTTTCAGAAATGTACTGAAGAAAGATTGTCTTCCCTAGGTACTGTTTGCTTTCAAGCCTCAATTCCCGCTGTCACCGTGGAAAAGGACCTTATTAAATCCTTCACATAGAGGTTAGTAGCACAAAGTATTAATACCTCTGTGCCATATTAACATTTTTATTTTTTAATATATGTATTTTGAAAATGGACAAGGAGAGGACAATACCTACTTAAGGAACCAAAAATGACAGAATTTTCTGCACTGCGATTTTTATGAGGTAAACTCGGAGAGGAGGAAGCACTTCGAAGAAAACCCCATAGAGTCTACCAAGTAGCCACCACCTACCCCATTCATGCTAAAGGTTGTTCTACCACCTAGGCCTGAAAAGCTGTAGGGACAAGCTCCTGATCAGTCCTGAGGTCCTGCATTTTCAACTACCCCCCCGGGGGGGGGGCTTCTCTTCCAGTCCTTTCACCTGCCCCCTGAGGGCAGTCTCCAAGAAAATGGGAATTATCTTCTCCAAAGAAGCCCCAACCCAGAAGCAGCATTTGTACAGCTCTCTCACTAAAATCTCCCTCAGGCCCAAATTTAGAGGAAATCTTTATCCCTCCTAAGGCCCCATCTGTTTTAATGCTTCCCCCACTACTTAGCGCTTGGGCTTTCCAGGTGATGGGAAAGTAGTAGGAATGAGAAATGTGTGTATGAGAGAGAGAGGGAGGAAAAAAGAGAGGGAGAGAGAGAGAGAGAGAGAGAGAGAGAGAGAGAGAGAGAGCGAGAGAGAGAGAGAAAGAGAGACAGGGGATGTCAGGAAGGGATTTTCTTTTATGCAGGTTCACCAGCTGGAGCACATAATACTCCTTGTCAGTCCAGTCTTGCTGGGGACTTGCTGCCCCAAACTAGAGTGTTTTCTTCTCCCATACCATTCATTTTCCATTGCCCATCCTTTTGACAGTCAAGGATCAAATTATAAACTGCTTTGAGGTTCTTTTTCCTCAAGGACCCCAAATGGCACAGAAACCATTGAAGGTCTAGGAACTGCCTTTCTCATTTTGGGGGTCAAAAGAAAGCCTTTTTGGGCACAAAATAATTCTCTAGGCACACATGGAATGTTCCTTTACAGCAGTATTACTCAACCCTGGCTGCAAAACAAAATCACCTGGGGAGCTTTTTAAAAAATCACTGATGCCTAGGTTTCAGTTTAGACCAGTTAAATCACAATCTCTGGAGAAGGGAACCAGGCAGATAGGCTTTTTTGTTTTGAGTTGTTCTTGTTAAGTACATCAGGTGGTTTGAATATTAAGCCAGCTTGATCACCATAGCTGGAAACTATTGTCTCCATAATTAGAGATCAAAATTTATCAAATTAGCAAACAAATGCTTAGAAATGCTTTAAAAGCAAAGGAAGGAGGGAACCTACTGTTGCAGAGCACACATTGGGTGCTGAGTCCTGATGTGCCTTTGTAGACATACACACAAAAAAGATTTGGAAGAGAGGAACAGGAACGTGGGGAGGCTGAGGTTGAGGTTGAGGAAAAAGACAAGAGCTGGCAAGCAGCTTAGCTTAGGGCTGGCTCTTCAAATGCAAAAGAAGAAAGCCTAGATGCTTCTTCTGGAGAAACTCCAGGGTAAAATTCCTGGAGAGGGGGAGACTAGCATTAATCTTATCTACAGCTACAAAACCTCTTTCCTTCCTTCTCTTCAAAAGACTACTAAGGGGAAAATAACCAAGAAGGCCTCTACTAAAAGTGTCAGGGGCAGGAGGAGATAAACTGTTTATATAACCAGGGTAATAAAAGAACTGAAAACATCCCTCCCATCTCACCTTGAAAATGTGCCTCAAAACACAAGTAATGTTAATAAGCGATATTTGCAGATTGACGATGTTACCTGGTCTCTTCAGCTGGAGATGTAGCTCGCCTCAAGTTATGTCCTTGAGGCATTTGCTTTGATTCCTCCCATCAAAATATGGGTCTCCATTGCCCTAACCACCTGCCCTTGTTCCTTACTCCCAGCAGGAGCCACTATGAAGTAGAAAGTCAGTTCTTTCCTTACCATGTCCTTAAAGCCTCCAAGGACCGCAGCAGTGATGATGCCCAGGAACAAGCCGACAATGTTGAGGATGGTGGCAGACCAGAGTAGGTGGTAGAGGTGGATGATGTCCTGGCAGCTGCTCACATCAATGTATTCATAGTACCCACCGGTGATCTCCACCCTGCTGCATAGGGAGGAGCACACTACAGTCATTCCCCTCAGCAGCAAGCCATTCCCCCCAGGAATTTGGCTGCCAGGTAGCTCAGCAAAAAGGAAAGTGGGTAGGTGAGGAGCTATTATAATAATCCTCATAGCCATGTACTTGCAGGACAAGACACTAATAAATTAAGGTGTGATTGTTGTTTATCTAAAACAGAACAAAATTTCTTCCTTCCAGAGAAACACTTGTGATCATCATTAACACTAATCCTAGACAGCATTTATTGACACTACGTACCAGGCATAATAATGTTAATTCACATTTTACATATGTGAATTCATTAAATCTATGGTGTGGCTATTTAAATTAACATTAAGTAACAAAGTTCAGTAGGTCAGTCTTGCTAGCCACATTTCAAGTGCTCCATAGCCGCATGTGGCTAGTGGTTACTGTACCAGAAGCATATTTCCATCATCACAGAAAGGTCTATTAGGCAGCACTGTAAAACCTTGCATTATCTGTGAGGTAGATCCTGTCACTGTTCCCATTTTTGCACATGAAGAAAATAAAGCAGAGAGGGGAAGGTTAAGGAATTTGTCCAGGTCATAAGTGGTAAACACAGAATCTGAATTCAGGCTTCATATATTTCTGTCTCCCCTCTCAAAACAAAACAAACCCACAAACAAGTCCCAATAAACAACTAGAACTTAGTTGTTACACAAAACCATAACTATCACCTCTGTGAAAAGGCCTTCCCTGATCACTCTGTCCAAAGTTTTCCCTCATTCAGCCCAGGAATTCTCAATTACACTACCTGCTATGGGCCAGACCACACCTCTGCACACACACACAAATTGATATGTTGAAGCCTTAATCTCCAATGTGACTTTCTAGTTGACCATCCATATCCACAGGTTATGCATCTGTAGATTCAACTAACCATGTGCTGAAAATATTAAAAGGTGGAGGTGGAGCAAGATAGCAACAAGATCCTCTGGTGAGCTTTCTTAACAGACACACCAAATTGAACAGCTAGTAATTGCACCAAACTATCAGCATAAGAGCTAAGGAAATCAGTGAGAGACCATACTATAAGCTTTTAGTATAAAGAAGTGAAATGAGGCATTGAAGAAAGCAGGAAGGAGAGAGTTTCCTGTATCACTTCCCTCAACTCCAAACAGCCCAGAATAGAGAGGGGCACCTCTTGCTTGGGGGAGAGATAATAAAGTCTAAGTCTTAAATTAAAAGCTAGTGTCATGCTCATCACAATAAAATGTAGTTTTGGGCAAAGCTCTACTACCCCTACCTCTACTACTCAATACCTGTGTACTGAGGCTCTAGAAGTGCATTAGGCCAGGAGGCTAGACACAGCCTCTACCAGCTCTCCTCCATCCTGGGACAGCAGAGGAAGGAGCAGGACTCCTGCTGGGAAGCAGGACAGGAAAGCTAACACAGGGTTTTGTCTCAGAGCCTAGTGCCAGGTATTCCATGGTGAGACCAATGGCCCAAACAGAACTGAAGGCCTCAAATGCCGGCCAGAGCTCACAGTCTCTAGACCAGCTCCAGCATTAAGCAGAAACCTGTTCACCTGAAAGACAGACCAAAGTTTCAGCCACACCAGTTCTAGCCTTGCAGTGGGCCTGGGGAACACCTGTCCTGCTCCAGGGACAGTGTAGGTCTCTTTGACTGTGAAACTCAGGTGCAACCCAGCTTAGTGTCAGTCTTGGTGACCAAAGGACTACCTCTACCACTCATCCTCTAACTTCAGATAGCACAGCTATCTCCAAACCAGTACTCACACATGGGCATCAAGAACTGCCCCAGCACTAGGCAGAAATCTGTACCCCAGTTGGACAGGTTCATGTTTTGGCCTGCATCACTTCCAGCTAGTATGTACCTGGTGTATCCCTGAGATTCTGCAGATTCTTATAGCCGTGAGACTCAGGCATGACCCATTTTAGATCATCCTGAGTGGCTAAGTGTCTGCTTTCAACAACAGTATCCCAAACTCAGGCAGCATTGTGTGGTGCAAGATGCCATTCACTGGAGGTAGGACAGGGTAGTAAGCAGAAGACTTTGCACCAGAACTTAGTGTGGGGCTAGTGACGCCTAACCCTGGGCAGATCCTAATGTACCCTATCCCCAGGTCTGCCTGTAGACAAGGCTGCTGTAACTGCTGAAGTGCCAGGGAAAGACACCACCCCAGTCAACCAGACTTCTATTCCAGTTAGTATTGCCTATGGCTGTTGCATTGGTCCAGGGCCATGAGTCCACCTCAGCAACAGGCACCACATAGCAGTGTCTTAACCCAGCGTCGTGCAGGTCTTGGTGGGCTTAAAACCAGGGTATGGTCCAACTTGGGTGCTTTGGTGGTCATGAGTGTGACAATATAGAACCTGGAACTGGTCTATCCAGTGACTCTTCCCAGAGCCAGGCAGAGTCCTGCAGTGTCTTACTACAGGCCTATAAGTGTGGTTGAGGCATCTGGGTCTGCCCTGGCCTCAGGGAGAGGACAGTGGGTAAAGGCTGTACTTTCTAAATACTCTTCTATTTCTTTTGAAATAATACACCATCAAAATATTTGAGAGAAACCTGGGCTCAGATTGCCCTCTAGTATTGAAATAATGACAACATACAGACAGCAGACTCCTAGAAGTCTGGACCTGGGCACAATCTTAGTGCTAAAATAGTGAAAGTAAGTAAAGGTTCAGAGAATATAAGCAGCTTGCCTAGAATTTCTGGAAAGACAGACATATTTTTAAAAATTATAGATTAGGAAGACTGGAACAAATTCTTGATCATTCAAAGCCCAGGTGATGTTGCACAACAATAAGCACTGAAGAGCTTTCAAGAGACCATGAGCTCATCTAGTATGTAAAATAACATGCCATAAACTGACCAGGCAGTAATTAATATGGCAGAACTCTCAGAGAATGTAAAACAGCTATTTTAAGGAAACTCAATGAACTTGGACGAACACAAATGTTTCAATACTCTAACAGAAACTTAAAGAGATGGAAGCAAATTTTAAAAATCAAACAAATTCTTAAACTGAGAAATATGCTCAGCGAAATTAAAAATGTAATAGAAGACAACAATAACAGAGTAGATTCTACAGAAAGAAAAATTGGTGAGCTTGAAGAAAGGCTACTTGGAGGAATGAAATGAAGAGGAATGAGTAAGGCTTATAAGAATTTGGGGTCGTATTAGAAGAGCAAATATTCAGCTTATTGGAGTTCTAAGAAGGACTTGAGAATGTCAAAGGAGTAGAAAGTTTTATCCAATGAAATAGTAATAAAAAATTTCCCAAAGCTAGAGAATAAAAATATCCAGGTACAAGAAGGTCAGGAGTCACCAGTCAGGTGCAACCACTGTGGAAATCAATATGGAGATACCTCAAAGAACTAGGACTAGAGGTCTCATTTGACCCAGCCATCCCTCTGCTGGGTATCTTTCCAAAAGAATTAAAAGAATCGTATCACAGTGATATATGCACACCCATGTTTATAGTGGCACAGTTTGTTATAGCTAAAACTAGGAAACAGCCCAGTTGCCCATCAACTGGAGAATGGATGAAAAAGATGTGGTTATTCAGTTAAATGGAGTACTGATGAGGCATAAAGTATTAGAAACTAGAGTCATTCATAGGTAAATGGATACATATTGAGGCCACACTCTTAAGTGAAATAAATAGGGCACTGATTTGTAAATACTGAATAGTTTCCCTGGTGTGAAAAACTATAATGGTACATAAAATCCTAATGATATAATTGACAATGTGAAATAGGAAGAAAAGGGCTAAAGGTGTAGGGGAAGTGGGTAGGGGGAAGGTAATAACGGAAAAAAATATAAGAAAATGAAAAAATGGAAATAAAGTATTTATAAATAGGGAAGGGAGGAGGGGGTGAAGGGAGGGCAGGGACAAGGGGAAAAATGAGAACCAAGACCTGTCATGTAAAGGTACAAGATCCCAAAGATGAATGTAACTGTACTGTATACCTAAAATGTACCAATAAACGCAAAGAGAGAACAAATAAATTAATAAATAAATAATCAGTGCCTGAGACTGGCCAGAACCTTTGTCAGTTGCACCAGCATTGGTCGTCCTTGTACCCCACTTTCTCTCTCTTAGTTCTGTCTTTTAGGGTTTTTTGTTTTTCGTTTTTGTTTTTGTTTTCCTCTGGCCTGCATCATATACTGGGAAGGATACTAGAACCTAACTGCAGGGGTCTATAGTACAGAGTTAAACTTTATATTAGGCCAAACAGACCTAACAGACATCTACAGAACACTCCATTCAACAGCTGCCAAATTCATATTTTTCTCATCATCACATGGAATATTCTCTAGGATAGATTATGTGATAGGCCACAAGACAAATCTCATTGAATTTAAAGATTAAAATCCTATCATGCACCTTTCCTCACCACAATGCACTAAAACTAGAAATCAATAACAAGAACAACTTTGGAAACTATATAAATATGTGAAAATTAATTTACCTTTGAACAATTAATGGATCAAAGAAGAAATCAAGAAAGAAATTTTTTAAATTAATTTTTTTGGGTTTTTTGAGACAGGGTCTCACTGTGTAGTTGAGACTGACCTGGGACACACTATGTAGTCCAGGCTGGTCTCGAACTCACAGAGATCCTCCTGCCTCAGCCTCCCAAGTGCTGGGATTACAGGCGTGTGCCACCAAAATTTTTTAAATTATTGAAACAAATGAAAACTGACATATTATTCAAATACAAGGACAAAGCAAAAATATCACTAAGATGGAAATGTATAACCATCAATGCCAACAACAAAAAAGAGGAAAGATCTGACAAATAACCTATCACTGCATCTCAAAAATCTAGAAAAGCAAGAACAAAACCCAAAATTGGTAGAATAAAGAAACGATCACAGCAGAAATAAATGAAGCAGAGACTTTAAAAATATTAAAGATCAATGAAACAAATATGTTTTTTTTAAAAAAGATGAACAAAAATAAACAAACTCTTGACTAAGAAAAGGAGAGG